CCCCAAAACCCCAAAACCCCAAAACCCCAAAACCCCTGGATAGGATTTAATGTTGTCTAGTTAAATAACAATTAAAATTAATCATATGCTAATTATTGTCAGGCTTGACAGACTCAAAAGCGAATAAGACTCAATTGACGAAATACCTGAGCTTCTCAAGATGCTTCATGCATTTGTAGTTGAAATCATGTCTACTCTTGCCAGGAGAGTTAGGTGGTAACTAGTTAGTATTGAGGAAGATCTGATTTAGATCATAGCCATCAAACTTATCCTGCTTAATCAAATCTGTCGCTCTGTCCATAAGTCTGCCTTTGACTCCTGTATTTAAACGCATGTTGGTTTAATCATCAAACTTGTAAAACATGAATCTCAGATGGGGTCCTTCAAAAGTGTCAATCAATTTAGTAGTGACCTTTTGCAGATACTTATAGAATCTACCTTCAGCCTTGTACTCATGACCTACTTTGGTGAAACAATAATAATACTTGCTGACATCTTCAGCATTCATCATCTCAAACTTTGACTTGAATTCATGCTCGAAATGCCTTAAAAGTTTTGGACTCATCTAATCAGTCTCTACAAATGCCATTAATAATTAGACTAATTCTTTAGGCTAGGCATGATTGAGATTCTGGATTACAGTGTCTTCTAGATCTTTGATGATTTCTTTGCTACATTCTTTGGACTTGTAATAACTATATAGGATATTCGATAATTCCTAAGCGCTAAATTTATCTTTGTAAGATATGATATGCTTTTCCATTGCTTAGAAAAATTGCAAAGATCCATTTTAGCATTTAGTGTAAGCTAATATAGAGTTTGCAATACTTTGAGGATCTCCATCTCCTTTATCCAGCTTCATTATAATAGGTAGCTCTAACTAAGTGAATACATCATCAAAGTTCATGAGGATTGGTTTTCCAACGCTAATTTTGTGCAAGCTATAGACTATATTCGAAATGTTTCTCATATCAAAATGTTGATAGTTCTTAGATATATAACTTGCTAGTGATGCCCACACTTAAGGATCATCATTCTTCATCTTCATTACTGAGTATATAAAACTAGTTACATAACTCTAAGGCGAAAGCTATTCTAGTAATTTATGATCTAGAGCTATTAATCTGATAGCATCTTTGATCTCCTTCCTTTCAGAGAATAACTTAAGTTGTCTGTGCTTATGCAAGAAATGAAAAGCCTCAATGACTTTTTCTTTCCTGCATCTTCCATTCAAGAAGTTTTTGTTTCCCATAAAGACTAATATCTGATCTGAGTTTAGTTTATGGAATTTAATCTACTCAAAGTCTTGTTGATTATAGAAACTGATTAGTATATTGAGTTTATCCATTTGATAGGTAAAGATTTCTCTCTTCTCTCTAGGCCTTTTAATCTAAAACATCTTATAGACCTCAGGTGATTAGAAATCGATGTCCTTTAAAGTAATATTGCCAAAAACATGACTATTTAACCTTTAATCTCCAGTTGCATACAAGTCAAGCAGCCTTTCCTACACTCGATCTTTTTGCTAAATCTAATTATTTTCAGAGTTTTGATTTTGGTCCTTAATTTAAAGCTAAGAATCTTTAGTAGATTACTTGTTAGTTGGTTCTATCTTTTTGTCTTTTCTTGACAATTTATTCAAAAGCTTTTTCTCTTCATCTTTAGGCTTTTCAAAATTGTCTAATTCTTTCTTGTTAGGTAAAGATTTTATTGATTCAAATTTTTTACTCCTCTCTTCCATTTCAGAAACTTCAAGATTTTCATTGATTTCTGAAATGCTCTCAGTTAAACTCTCTTACAATTCATCTTATTATTCTGTATCTTATAGTTTTATCAGAGTATTATCTCATTTGATTGCTTTAATATCATCTAGAAATGACCTAACCTCTTCAACAGGATCTTCAATCTATTAATTTTCCTCTATTTACTAAATAAATGCTAATTCCTCCCTGGTATCCTTTTTATGATTTTATATTTTTTTATCTTGTATCTTTTTATCTAATCTATCAAGTAGACCAGTTGATTCCAGTCTCTCTATTTCAGAAAGCACTTCTCTCTCAAGAGTGTCATCTATCTTATCCTCTTCAATAGCCAGTTTTTCTTCAAGAGAGGTTGGCTTTGGGTATTCAATTTTACCTATTTTAGCTTAAATCAATTTATCTATTTCTTCTTTGCTCATTGTCTCCAGTTCTTTCGGACCAACAATGATTTCATCTCCTTCTTCCATTCCTTCATAAGGTTGACCCAGATGCTCGAAGTCTTCGATCATCTTATTAACCTTTTACTAGTTTTTCTTGGCTAAGAAATCCAATCTCTCATGTAGATCAGCTGGTAGTTCCCCATTCTTGATAAGTTCGTCTTGCTAAGCCTTCCATCTAATATAGCTCTTCTTCTTGGTTTCTGGCAGTATAAATTGCTTGATAAGCCAATCTACTTGTTCCTCAGAGTCTATCTTATAGACTTTCTTGCCTGACTTGTTGCTCTATAGTTTTATTTACTAAGATATAGGCATGCTTTTCTTTATACGAACTTGGTTCTAAATATTGTTATTGTAAGCAGCTTTTATCGCTTCATCAGAGATAGGAGTATCTTTGCTTTGCTCCTCTAGTTGTTTTTTGAACTTATGCTCCATATTTTTCATTTCTTTATTCGAATCAACTGTCTCTAATATGAGATCATTCTTTTCTTATGCACTACCAGATTTATTTCCTCTAATAAATCTTGCAAAGTATGCTTTGTTTTAAGAAGTTAAAGCTCTGGCAATTTGTTTAGCGTAAATAGCTGAAGCCTTTTACATTTTATCAAAATATCAATTATATTACTATATTTTAATCAAAGCCAATCACTTTTGTAAAATCAATCATGGGGTTTTGGGGTTTTGGGG